TGCCGAAAACTTGCTCCAATAGCCAAACGACGAACAAGATGCTTCAGAGCATGTTTCAAGTTCAAATCGAACATTATTTCAATTGTCTTCAAGTGGCTGGCGTTCTTCAAATTTTTGCGTATTTCACATTTGCTATGCGCTGACGGTCATTGTCCAAAACGGATTTAGAGTTTATTTTAATATCTATTGTTACTTTTTATTTATTTGTTTGTTTGCAAAAATCATCAATTGTATAATACGTAATATTATTCCTTTATACTACATCTTCGGCTATTCACTTCCACTCAAGTATACAATTTTACATAAATATGCTTAACAATTGAACGCTTGGCGCCGCAAATGCCTTTAACACCATTCAAGTCAGTCATTCAGTTGATGCTTTGGATCAACTGTTTAGCATTTAACCACTATACAAACATATTACTTTTTTGAGACTGAAATTTTGTAAAAAAAAAAAAAAATAAATGGGGTATGTTTCCTTGGAATTCTACCGGAAAATCCCGCAGGCGGTAAATTAAATGTGCGCATTCCGCTAATAGCATTAGTTTGAACAATTCGAGACCTGTAAATGTTTTTGATAAAAATTTTTGCAACTGAGCAAAAGTATAACGTCAGTGCCTTAAGTTTTGACACAAAATGAATCGTCCATGTTCGAGGGGTTTTCTGTTTTCGATACAAGTAGTAGATTGTTATCAGTGCTGTAATCCGAGCGTGATTGTTTTCAATGACACGCTATGGGCAGTGAACTTGGACACATAATTTTTTTTCCATAATTGTCTGACGGATGGATTGACTAAAGTGGTTGGTTTTAGTAGACGACCGACCACACTACTTTTTACTTTCCTATTGCTTACCCAAACATATGAGATGTCTTTTAACTTCTGACGAGCTCAACACCGTTTTTCAGTCCCTGACAATATTAAAGAGAGAGAAACCCCTGACACTACACCAGCCCTGGGCGGCGCCTGAACGGCGGGCATATTCGCGTATAAATACACGCCCTGCTTTAGAAGGCAGCGAAAGCTTAATTCAACCGCACGACTTGTTCGCACGCGCACTACAAAATTCTCTGTCGAAGCTGCCCACCTCTGCTCTACACCCTCGTACAATTTTGAAATAATGGCGGTAATGGAGCCAAAGCTCTCTGCAAGTTCTTTCTTCTTGCACGTTCTTCTCTAGAAGGGATTTCCTACTGAATATTTTTTGTTAAAGTTGAGTTACATCATATATTGGGCTGGGAATATTCGGATATCCGTTCGGTTATTCGCGTATACAGGTAAAATTCAGATATTCGGTTAATATGCGTTCATTTCGTTATTCTAATTTCCGGAAATCCTGTTAATATCCGTTCATTTGGTTATCCAAATATCATTATAATTAAATTGTGCGCAAAATTACAGAATCTACCGAGTTGGAAAAAATAACAGCAAAATATAATACATTTTATTGTCAATTCAGAGATTCGAAAATCCGGATATCCCGTTAAATTCCGTTCATTTTTTTATCCGGATATGCGGTTAATATCCGTTCATTCGGATATTCGGAATTTTCAATCCGATCTTCGAATAACCGAACTATTCGAATAGTCAAAAATCCGGATAGAACTGCCAGCCCTAATACTAATTATGTTCAGATTCCTTTCTAAGACCGACAACTGGCCACATTCCACTAAGCCCAATATGTCTCTGAGGGCCGTTTTCTCAATAGCTTTAAATTTTATTAAAGGCCAATTTTTGCTCTCAACATTTTTTTTGAAATATAAATAAATTTTAAAAGCTACTTCAGAAACGACCCTGAATCTAGGAAATAACGTTAGAACTAAGTAAAGTCAAATAGCTTGATGATTATCGTCTGTCAAAAAATTGTCTCATCTAAAGGCAGCTTAATTCGAAGACTGGCTAGTTTCCTAACTGGTATGGCCTGCTGAGCAGGGTGACCAATTTGAACGTCTTTCTGCGACCAGCGGTATCTGTTTTCGAAGCGTGTGGAGCTCGCAAGCTCTGCGCTATTAGGAGGTGCTAGTAACGCATGCAAATATGTCTGCATGTCGACGTGCGGTGCGGAGGCCAGAACGGCAGAAAAACTCTACTCTTCGTGTTTAATTCATAAATACATAATAAAATTTTTTGTGAACAAAAATCTATTATTGACTTATCGGTACAAATATAATCGGTCGCCAAATGTTTGTACTTGAAAAAATTAGTATTTTTTTAAATTAAGAATTGGCAAATTTTATTAAATTTTTTTGGAAAAATATTTAAAAAATAATGTATAAAGCTATAAAAAATACATCTGAATGCAAAATCAATTTCAATCATCAAGTTGGCACAGAGATGCCGTGCCGCGATTTATCCAATGCATTTGTGTGCGACTGCAATTGAGTTGCATATACATCACGAAATTGGTGGAGTGACCGGTTGTCGAGAGAACGCCACGCCTTTCGCTGGTCTTGTAAACTGGACAATCGTAGATGACGCGCACTTTGGAATCCTCCTTCGCCGCTTGCGCAGTCTCTTTTAGTGTTGGACGGAAAAATATAACTGGCAATGTATCGAATAATATCTTTGAGTAGGATTCATCTAGTTCTTGTGTTTCACGATTATAGCGCGCGCCTTCCAGGAAGAGGCCCTATTTAAAGGAGATGAGGAGAATTTAAATTTATTTGATTTTCATTGTTGAATGTTCTTTATTTAGCATAATTTTTAGTAATTTTTTTGGTTTACAATAAAAGCGTATAAATTGTACTTTGCAATATCTTACATGAAAAAATTTTGTCTCATCATTGATGGACTGCTGTTCCTGTTTTATATGTATAGATGCAAATTTGTGTGGTAGCATGTGTAATGAGTATATAGTATATGTAGATATATTATGATTTTTAAATAACAATCGTTAAATTATGTAAATAAAAAAATAAAGTTACAGGTTTTACTTACCCGTATGTATGCGCCAAAGCTTGGCTTACTAGGCACTTCCATTTCATATTCGGTTACTTCAAATTTGATTTCAACCATATCGATTTGGAGCGTATTCTTTCGCGAATAGTTTTGCAGTACGCCAGTTATGAAGGACTGTGTGAAATAAAATCCAGATAGCCAATAGACATTCGGTTCCCCGTCATCTATCCAATGCTGGAAGAATTCCAAACTAGAAAAAGGAAAGCGAAAAAGTTTTTAATTTGTGAGATTCTAAATACTTCTAGGAGACTACAACTGTGGATTAATTGAGATGTATTAGTCTTTATCTGGCCTAGGTCGAACAATTATGTGCAGTCAATGAAAATCTCCACTACCTACCATTTTTGATTCGTCAGTAAAAACAAGAGAACGAAAACGACACTTCAGATGGCACAACGCCGAACCCGCTTTGTCTTTAAAACCAAATGTATCAAGGGACGACGGAAATTAGTCCCGAAACTCAGCATACATAAACCCTGTCGCAAAGAGTGGACTTTCTTTCCAGTAACCTAAAGCCGGTAATCTGATTACGCTGTTAGCAGCTGAGTACCACGATTTTTTTTTGTTAGGAAAAATGAAAAAAAAAAACAAAGCCTAAGCAGTAGAGGTTATAGCTGCTATTTCGGAGGTCAACACATCTTCTCATCAGCCTTCTTTTTCTAGACTTCAGCAGGGATCGAACCCGCGTCATCGATGTGCAAAGTCAGAAGCGCTAACCACTGAGCTATGCACACCCCGTTGGTCAGTATCTCATTGTACCCGTTGAATTAACACACTGACCTCTGAATTCTGTAAAGGTTTTTAAGTAGTACTTAATCATTAGCTAAAGTTGGCCACCACACCAGAGTTCTTTAAAAAAGTATGAGTCGGACTATAGCCGTGCACATTCTTTTGATTGTATAGAGGGGCACCGAGGACCTCCTTGCTCGCTTCTCAATTCTTAACCTCAAATTAAGTTTGGGATCCAATAAAAATTCAAGATATATAACCTCTGTACACCGGAATTTAAGTTTACTACCATCAGTTAATATTGTCTTATTTGTAAATAGCACCAAGTAATTTTCTCCAGTTTATGGCCCGGGAATCTATTCACTTTCTTAAGAGTGTCCTTTATAATTTCGCTTATAACCGAAGGAAATCGATCCATGGGAGTTTAGGTTTACTAGTTTATTTATCTCTAACAATCTAGCTCTACATGCACATTATATAATCAATACTGACATTATTAAAGGCACCTTAAAAATCAATAAAGGAAGCCATAGTCAATTGTTTGTAGTAAGGCCAGCGTGTGAACCACTTTGTGAAGGGCAGTCTCCGTTTACTTCCTCTTTTAGGCAGATGCTTTGAGAGTGCGATAAATTGGACGTACTGCCCCTGATATGCAGCACGTTTGGAGTACAAAAAACATTAGTTTTTTTTTGGTACGAAATCCTTAGCATTATCGTGACCCGGTTGTACCACTTTAGGAATACAAAATTTCTTTAAAATTCCTCACGGAAGAATGATTGATAATATTTCATTCATTCCTGTGGTAATCTAAAGATAGAAAACCCAAACATATTAGTTTTCATTTAGAAGGAATTCTGCTACCACCCTGTCAGATCTTTTCAGGAGACATTTCGTTGTTTTCTAGGTGTCAGTACTCCTCCAAAGGCTTTTCTGCACCAGATTTAGTAATGAGCTCCTTCATGCACTCGACTGTTCCTGCTATGTTTGGCCCTAAATTTGACACCGGTCCAATTGGAGGCTCCAAAGAACCGCAGTTCATCAACTCATGAGAGTCTCGGCACGCATACAAGGTCAAGCTCATTCCACCTTGCAACGGAGTTTAGCCTAAATTTGCATCCCTGGACTATTTTTGAATAGATGCAAACGATTTCCAAGGCACTTAGAGCAACTGACTATTACCTTTCGTCATTTAGCTGGTCTGCTACTCGTAGTATTGCAAGGACTTCCGTTTGAAAGATGGAGTCAGTGGATTATTTAGAGTAGCAGTTTCCACATCGTTGACCCTACACCCAGAAAGTGTGTATTCAGGATATGCTAATAACAGGATCATTAGCCTAATCTTACTGAACAATAGTTTATCTATTTATCTTTCATTTCAGATATGAAATTCCTTCTGTGCCTTTTTTTGAACGAAATGAAAAATTGTTCATTGCTCGTTTGCCAAGTAGAGATACTTACATGCCTAGAGAAATATGGACACACAGTACAATTTGTGTTGCTAGAAAGTAAAGTTAATACAATTGAGTAGCCTACTACTAACACAGTGCAAACACATACTATACATATGTATGTATGTACATATTTACACATGTTTCCTGGCACAGTTACAGCTTTTCTGAAAGCCGCAATGCCCGAGTAAAAATAAATAAAAAATATACATATGAAAATATGTATGAACATTAGGGAGGGCGCATTTTTGACTATGCGCTCTTAACATAACAGGATTCTAAGTGTAAGTCTAAGCAAATTTGTCCAAGAAACCATGCCTCTAAAATCCATTTGGAGTTTGCCAAATTGTGGAAATAGGTTTCGCAGAAAATGTGCACATTTTCACTGTTGCGCCCTCTGGTGGAATTTTTAAGTGAAAACATAAGATAAGATACCACAAAATAGGATTTTTTTACACAAAAATTTAAGCGCTTCTTTACGACACTACAGTAAACATATTTTCGCAATTCGGCAAACTTCAAATTGATTTTAGACCTACACGTAGAATGCTTCTGCGCTGTACGCGCATAGTCTAGAAACAAAAATCTCCCATACAAATTGACCCGCTCTAATGTAAATATATTTTCAATCAGCTTAATGTGCAAATAATTCAACATTGTTCAAAATAAATAAGGTATAGGAACAGCTTATCAAAGTAAGAGGAGGTAAATAAATGTATTAAAAGAAATCAATGAGCAAAAATAGAAAACAAAAATTTTAGAAAATTCCAAAGATATTTGATTTTTTTGTTTGCTTATTTTCTACTTATTGTTGAGTTGAAATTGAAACAGAATTGTTAGCTGTTTGTAAGCTTTTATAATACGTAATAGCTTAAAGTATTACGCAATAAAAAAAATAAAAATAAAAAATTAAGAAAAAATCTGATAAATACGTCAGCAATTTATGTTTGCTTAAATTCTTTAATTCTTAAGTTGTCTCAAGTGCAAAATGTGGGTAGAGACCAACATCAAACTTGAGGAGTTGCCAAATCTGTAGCAAACGTTCTGGGAAAGTCTATGCGGGTAAGTTAAAAAAAATATTTAAATATATGTATACAAATATTTTAAAACTGTAGTGGCCTCACATCACACTTTGCACATTCACGTCATCCGTTTTGACTAGATTATACAAATAAATTATAGCAAAATTGTAAGCTTAATTTAGAACTGCCAAGAATTGGAATACATCTTTAAGAGGTTTCTAAAAAATACCTACATAGTACATTTAAGCAGACATACATACTTACATACATACAAATTTATTATTTTCAAAAAACATACCTAAGAAATAGCTGAGCATAACAATGCAAGCACAGCATTATTTATGTACCTAGCAATTCTTTTTAGAAGCAACATCTATAAAAATCTCATTTCCTTACTAATAAAATTAATATATGCGCACATTCAAAACATGCGCATATGTATGTATGTACATACATATCTAATGTGTGAACATACACAACTGGGTCGTAATTTGTAGTTTAATAGCACCAGCTATGCATATAAATATTTGCTTTAAATAACTCACCGTGCCAGAAAATCCGTAACATAACTGCCAAGCGGCTTCAGCGATGGGTAGCTTTTCTTTAGCCAATCCGCCGGTAGCTTACCAATCACCATTGACGAATGTGTACGCTCCAATTCGGGTATCATAGCTATTTGACCTTGTATGGCTTTTTGTACGTTGATCAGACTTTTGCGTATATAATCTAGTAAGCGATTGAATCTGGAAGTGGATGGAACAATGCAAAAATAGAAATAGAAAAATAAAATGAAATTGTAATGAAGTTATTAAAATTAGTAAAAAAGGCTATTGTTGACTTTTATTGTGCCTCCTTGCTTAATTAGTTTATTAGGTTAGGCTTCTTTTAAGCATTGTACATTAGGGTGGTTCAAAAATGCATATAAAAAAGTAAAGTCGGAATTTTATGCTCTCACCTCCTAGGATTGTTCTTATTAAAAAAAAAGTATACCCCTATTTTTTTATTTTGTAATAAAAAAAACTTTTCGTGGAAATGATATAGAATTCTTGAAAATCAACAATTTTCGATCGGAATATCATTTTTAGAAAAAAATTAAAAAAAAACAACAATTTCTAAGGATACGTTCACACAGAAAGCCGAGCGGCATCGATTAAAGCAAGGCGGAGCGAAGCGAAGTTTCAGATGTTCACACTGAACAAAGCGCGGAGCGAAGCTTTTTGCATGGCATCGGCTGTAAGGATGTCACAAAAGTTAGCGGCTAATATCTTTGTTCAATTTGCTGCAATTGCTTTTTCCAAAAATACGTTGTTAATTAATTATTTAAATTTTTTGTTCGCAACGGCGGCAAGAGGCTGCAAAATAAAAACGAAATTTCAAAATCACAAATTGTTTTGCTTTTAGCTCCAAAACCCATCTGAAAAAGCTTGCTGCATGCACACTACCATATACTAGCTACTTTAATTTGAAAGCATCGCTCCATTCGAAACGGCTTCGTTCTGCTCGGTCCTGTGTGAACGTAGCCTAAGGCGGTAGAAGTTATAGCTGCTATTTCGGAGATCACTACATCTCCTCATCAGACTTCTTTCTCCAGACTTTAGCAGAGATCGAACCCGCATCATTTTTAACTTATTTCATTAAGTTTTTGTTTAATTTGTAGATTTTATTGTTTTTAAAAGAAAAATATATTTTTTTTTAATTTTCTATATTTTTTCTTTTTTTTCCTTTTTTTAATTTAATTTGTGGGGTTTATTGTTAAAAAAAACATTTTTTTTTAATTTCATATAAGTTATGGAACTTATTTGATTATCTTTTTTAATATTTTTTTTTTTAATTTAATTTGCTTTTAATTTTTAGAATTCCTTTTTATAAAAAAAATTCTCTTTAATTTGATTTAATTTTTAGGAAATTATTTTATTTCTTGTGTTTTTTTTTTAAATTTAGTTTTTGCCTTTTTCAAATAAATTTTCTTTTAATTTTTATATTTTATTGTTTTCAAAAGAAAAAGTATATGTTCTTTAACCGCAGATTGAATTTTTTCGTCCTAGAGGCTATCGCATAATTCCCAATAAAAAAAATTTTCAGGAAAAAATGGTGATTTGCATAAGGAATCACAAATCTTCTCTACTATAAATTTTTTGTGGCGCAAGCCTTATTGGTAGGTACACATTTAGTTAACAGCTTTTTGGGCCTCAACTTTCTGAACGATTATCCTGATTCTTCAAATGTAGCTCGTAGTCCATTTTATTTTCTGAATATTTTCATGATGACTACGAAAATTTGTACTAGCTACTCTTCTAAAACCATTTCGTTCAACATAAAACCCAAATAATTTTCGAAAGTGTGATCTTAAATAATTTTCAAAGATTATAATATCTTACGGAAAACAATGATTTTCCAATACACGTTTCAGTAAATATGCACATATGTATGTACGTATGTACAGTGTGTACATATTTACTCATATTCCTAATTTATTTATTTTGAAACATGTGAGCTTCCTAAACGTGTCCTTCCCACCCATATAAGGTGCATAAATATACTTGTATGTATATTTGCATACACACGCACACGCACACTGCCATCAGCATATCTTCTTCTTACCTTATCAGCTCTTGTCTCAATACGGTATTCATGGAATTCGTATACACCACCGGATACTTTTGACCCACCTCGGCAAGACTGAAAGCCTTTGGTAGGCGTGAAAGAATGTCTTTACATATGGCAAATGCTGGGTCAACAACAGCGCCACCCGCTGTGCCACTTGCCTTCACAGAAGCCATTAAATCCGTTTGAGTGAGTAAAACACCGCCAATCAACTGCGTTTTTTTAGTGGAAACAAATTTAAATTTAATGATTGAGATTTAAAATAAATATGCTCCAATCAAGATGAATAAGTAAATGCTTGTTGTTGTTGGGATACTTACGCTACTCGTCTCCTTGTTGTTGCGATTAATGTCGGCATTTTCATGTAAGCCGAACACTTCCGGATGTGGACTAAGTGCAAATGTCGAAATGTATTCGATGGCATTGAGACGCGTTGGATTTAGTGGTACACGATAGGTGCCCGATTGTGATAAGGGATAGCTGGGTGACAAAAGAAGAAGCACAAAAACAAAAAAAAAATATATAACTTAAATTAAAGAGGTAAGTATGTATGTATGTATGAACATAGTATGTATACTGAATAAATATTTAAAAGCTACCAAGTAGTATATGACTCCCATCAAACAATAAAAGTGGTGGCTATAGAATTTCAACGAACTCCTCACCCAAGTCGGGAGTTGAAGATTTGTGAGATTCTCTTGATCATACCAGTGTTCTAATTCCCGAGTGGCTATCAGAATAAAGATCCAATTTTATGAAAGTCGCACACTTCAACAGCTTCCTTCTGGGCCGTAAGATCTGCGTGAATATTACTACAGATCTCTTAGAGATTCATGGAGAGTTCTGAGAAAAAACATGGGTCTTACCACTGATTCCATGAACTCTCCATATGAGCTCGAAGTGTTCGACAGATTCGACTAAGGCCGATGCAAGCTATAGCTGATTAATTAACAAAGCCTTCGCTGGTAAGCTCTACTAGACTCCCACATCACTGTAGGCTTTAACAATAATGCCATATAGATCCAAGACCTACTTTGGGTTGCCACCTGTTTAAAAAGTTAAATTCAAACTATTTTACCAGTTAAACCAGGGGGGTTAGAAAATTTTTTATATCTGAGCTGTATTTAGGGGGGTTGCCACATGCTTGAAAATTGAAATTCCACCCAATTCACCAGTTGATTGAAATATGTATTGCAGTGTCCGGCGAAGTAGAGTTAACAATGATTAAGCTTTAAACTACTTTTGAAGAGGGCTGCCACCTGTTTGAAATGTCTAACTCAATTAACTAATTCAAAAAGTATATGAAATATAAAAAATAACGTAGCCAAACGAAAGATTGTTAAGAAGTCTTTAGTTTGAACATTTCGAATGTTTGAGGAGAGTTACATTCAAATTATTCAGTAAGTTGGATGAATTAATAAAAGATGGGTATAAATTGGAATGGGTTTGAAAGGGATTTATTCCTGATCTTGCCTTAGGAGGGTTGCCATTTGTTCGAACAATCAGATGAAAGAGATTTAAGAAGATTTTAGTTTGAGAATTCTTTTGAAAAGTTATTTAAAAAAGGAGAGGTCAAATTAGACCCTTAGCCTGTAAATATATAACATTTTATTTTTGTAATTAAGAGATTTTTCATCAGTATAGGCTGATTTGAAATTCTAAGAGAATAAAAACATGCACTATGCGAGACTGTTCTTCACTCAGAATTGGCTGCACGGTTTTGACGAAATATGGCATTCGAATCGCGTATAACTGACTAAAATTTGGAATATTTTTTAAGTATTTGAAATTCAATTTTGGGCGTTTTAACGCCATGCGGGTTCACTGGTCCATTAAATTCTTCCTGAACTTCTTGGAGCGCCAGAAAGGATGATAAAAAACAACGGAGTTACCGTCTAAGCAGTTATGCTTTAGATTAAGAAGACGCACTTCGGGAAAGTATGAGCTGCTGCAAGGTTTGCTGGGGTGAGATAAAGCCACTTAAAGCTCCTACAAAATACCATTAAAATATAAACGCTTGCAAAGAAACATACACACATATCGCAAGTTCTAAACTAAGGTAACTAAAAAAGTTGCTGTCGCTGTCACGAGCGGCCCTTAAAATCGAAAATATACGTGACATTCTATAAAATTGGCAAAATTCAATATGAACAATATAAATACATGAGATAAAGATAACAGAGCCAGAATCTTCAGAATATATTCGCCTCACATACATACATACATACATACGTATGCTCCTATGCCAAAAACAAACAAAGAAACCAGTACTTGGGAATAGTAAATACCCCGAATTCACCCGCTGCGGGCGAGCATACATATGTATTATGTTTGTATGTATACTCACTTGTCCATTTCGATTGTGGTTGGATTATATATCATGTTGAGCAGTGAAAGGATTAAGCGGCGATCCTTGTCATCCGTAACGCGCCCACCATAGTTGCATTCACCGGTAAGATAGACATGTCCACGAAATGGTATACTCTTGCTTTGTGCTATGAACATCTTCAGCTGCATCAGCGAAATTCTATTGTTGATAAAAGCACAAACAGAAATACACAAAAAATAAAAATAAAAATAAAAAAATAAAAACAAAAACATGAAAGGAATAGAGAAAATAAATAACTTGAAGTAGATAGAAATATACTAAATAGAAGAGAAATAAAGCCGCTATAAAGAGACAAACAAGTAAGCTGAGTCGAGTGAAATGAAACGAGGCACACAACACATCTGTGCTGGATTTGTGGTTCAGTTGCTTGACATTGTAAAATGGCGAAATGTGGGTAGTAGTGACAAAATTGGAAAAGCAGTTACATAGTAGCTAGATGCTGACAAATACAAAAATAAGCTTGTAAACAACTGAGAAATTGGTTTTACTGTTTCTCTTCGTTTTTGTTTTTGTTTTTGGGTAATACACAAATGCTCTAGAATTTGAATAAAATATCCACATAGACCACTTGACATTTTAACGCCCACGCAATCGTCCATTGTAAGCAAGCAAGTCAAACTGCCATCTGCATTTATCGCTCACTCGCACACACACACACACACACACACACA